AATTTTTAATAATATGTTATTCTCTCAGATATAACTTGCTACGTAAAACCTCTATTTTGCCCAATTTATAGTTATACAACTTATATTTCTAATTATCTCCTTATTTCCAGGGTAAGGGATAGAGAATTATCTGTGTTATTTATAATAAACTGTGTTTTTTCTTCTTTTTTGTCATGTAGTACATTTATTTGCGTATTTCTATTCATACAAGAGAAAGAGGTGTACAATCAATGATAAAATACATTTACACGAAGATCACACCAATGCACCGACAGAGCGGGTTCCTGTTAGGCACGAAAGATACAGGCGAGAATAGGGAAGAAACACGTGAAAGAGGGAGAGATAAGATCATAATATGATAAGTTCTCTATGCTTATTTCCATTGCCCGTGTTGTATGAAAATTCATTAATGAACTTACGTTTAGTAATCCTAATTTATATTCACAAGTTAAAAAGGTTTCTTCTTGGGATTTATTGCATTGAAAAGCAATGAAGTGCACTGCCACAAATTATATGATTTGTCTGAGTTTACTTTGTAAGTTGGGTTTTCTGAAAATAGAATGTGTTGTTGTTTATGCTATTTAAGGATTGTTTGTGGTAGTATGTGGTAAGTTTGTGTAAATGTGCGGTATTTTGCAGTAATTGGTAGGACCCATTGGGGGTATAGATTTAAAGTAGCTTAGCAGATTACTAATCTCAAGTTGTTGAAGGTTGTTATCAAAACACAAGTGTGTTTGTTATTTAAAAAGCGATTGGTAATAATCTTCCTTTGTTGTCCTGACAGGAACATTTTTGGTAACTTTTCGTAAAGCATTATGGTAAATGTAACAAAACGTTACCTGAGTAATGTTTCAAAGCACTGGAAAAGGCATTACTGTGAAGATGTGGTTTTCATGAGATCAAGTAATCTTCTATCTTTGTTAACAATCACTGTTTGAGTAAATATTGTCAAGGACAGCAAGTTAACTTGTTACAAGTTACAAAGTAATCCCTATAGAACCTTTTTTCTTTTGTACATTTTATTCACTTATTTTTGTCCTAAAGTCCTGGGTAATATGTTCACACATTTCATTGCTTGGTTGTGTTCATTCATGTGAAGTTATATGATTTTAATCTCACACTTCACTTTCATCCTTGTACTTTAATACTTATTATTTACTAGCTGGAGTACCGTCCTCTGAACAGAAATTATGTAAAATCATGATTAATGAAAGGTTATCTTAGGATATGAAAAGTTGCTCCTTTATATGTAATTGTAAAAAATGCAAAAACGCCAATAAAAAGTGTAAAACACAAATTGTAAAACCGCAACTTTGCATGTATCTCCGAATGGACTCAACAAACCTTCATGCCAAATTTAGTGAAGATCCATCAACAGGGGCGAAGTAGTAGTAAAAAACGCCAAAACGCTCATAAAAATTGCAAAATGCAAAACCGAACATTTCTATGTATCTCCCCATGGACCCAATGAACCTCCATACCAATTTCGGAGAAGATCCATTCACATCCTACGAAGTAGTTATATGGACATACCACACAGTCCTATTATATTTATATAGATTTTTGCTTAAGCCATAATTACTCACAGTCTGTTAACACCTTTCTTTATTGCTATTTATTGTTAATTTTAGGTCATTAGAATAACTGAGTAACAGAAGCCACGAGAGGGTTTGGCATATTGTATTAACCTGCGCAATTGCAAGAATTGAGGAAACTGAATTTGCTGGTTTGATAGTATTCTGTAAAAATGCTTGTCATATTGATGTTTCAGAGACTATCTGATCATATTTTGCTTATATCTGCGGAAGCCTGTCGGACTTTGCAGCGACTTTGTGGTAACTAGTAAGACCGTCCGTCAAACGCCACTCTTTTCGAAAGTTGTTTACATTACTTCAGTCTCATGCAGAGTAACAGTCATGTAAGCCTACCCTTCCATCTTACATCAAGTAATGAGTCAGCATTGTTTGGCCTTGTCATGAGAATCCTGTGGTTTCACTATATTTATCTTTGTGCTGTCTGCCCTCAGAGAACGTACCATACACGCATTCTAAATCAGTGTGTAGTGCTGACATAAAACGTGATATATGTGTTGTAATCAAACTGCAGTTGGCTACATACAAAAGAAAAATGAGCTGAACTATGGACATTATTGATGTTATTGATACAAACGTCGTTGAATAGTCTTCTCGGCCATACTATCAACTGTACGTGTAACGACACAACACTGTTACTGTGATTCAACATGACAAATCTGGTCTCCTTTTCCGGATTTTCTTCGTCGAAAAAATTTACGAGTTTTATACTGTTATATCAGTATGTGACTTTTACATTTTACACTTCTATAACTAGACAAATAATATATCTTTATTCAGGTATATTTAGGTAAATTTTTCATGCATTTTAATACAGGCGTTATGATTTACTGGTATTAGTAAATAAGTATTATAAATCGTTCAGATTGTAGTTATGAGTTTCTACAATGACCATTCCATATATATTTATACTTGTTTGACCATCCTGAGATTTGGATTGTACCAAAAGTGAAGAGGTTGTAAATAGACGTTAATAAAGTTTGCTTGTATAAAATGAAATGAACACTGACATGGATAATTTAGAACTGTGAGATATCATTAGAGATTTAGTATAAATTAACAGTGTAGTATAAATATAATTCAACTGTCTTTTGTAAGGTGAAAAGTATTTTGATCCTCTCTAGTCTAGAAGCCAGTTAGATCCTAATGACATACACTATTGTAGAGTAAGCCCCAGAAAGTTTTGTTTGTATTTAATAAAGACTTTATTATTCCACATAAGTTTGAAGTTGAGTCTTTCCATTGATGTCCATGTTAATTTTATTCTTTGCAATATAATTGATTCCATACTATTTTTAGGAGCTTAATATTTACCAGTTAACTTTTGTTTTACCTGGAAATATCACAGTGAATCTTAGAAGTAAATAGTTTATTTATTTTGTTGAATTTCGCGCAAAGTTCGAGGGTTGTTTGCGCTAGCTTTCCCCATTTTGAAGTGTTAGACTAGAAGGAAGGCAGCTAGTCAAAACCATCCACTGTCAGTACTTTGGCTACTCTATCAATGAATAGTGAGATGGACTGTCACATTATAACGCCCTTAAGAAAGAGCATATTCAATGACGGAGTTAGATCTCGCGACACGCAGATTGCGAGTCGAGTGCCATAACCAACAGACCATGCCAAGTCAAAAGTAAATAATTTCCTTCCCTGCAGTCGTATCTGTGAATGACATGCCTTTCCTTTCGTTAATCTTTCACAGTGTCTGTGGTCCAGTAATGAGGTTAGACACCAGGATCCCCAGTGCTAAATAATGTTTGCAAATGATAAATTCTTGGTATGTTCTGAGCCATCTGAGAATAGATACCTTGCGAAGCTGAATAGATAGCCTTCTTAGTTATGCAACTTATTCAAATAAGTATGATAAAACGTATGCTACCAACTTTTCGAAAATATTGTTACTAATCTTAATATCCTTACAGAGCACTAAAACAAAAAATGAAGAAAAAACATGTTTTAGCATTATACCAATAACTCAAATACATCCTAGAGTGTTGAAACGAGTCGCATCCTTCGTTCAGATTAATCTATATAAAATGGTGCCTATATAGGATGTACTCTTTATTAAATGTTTTATATTTACAGTAAGAGCAGCAATAAATTTACTACTTTTAAATTTTTTATTTCTTTTAATCTATAACACATATTCAATTGTGAGTTTTTTCATGCAGTCTAGTGCTTTGTGGTGTTATAGCATTTAGAAAAACTGTAGTAATTCTTTAGATTTGGTCAAAAGTTCGGTGCTGTATATGTTGTCAGAGTTACTACCATGAATAAACATTGAATATTAAAGATCATACACACTAGTTGTTATCATAAAAGCTTAAAATAAGTTATAAGTAACTAATATTAAATCAAGTAGTGTAAACCTGAATAACTGAACTTACGATTTACATTAGGAAAAATAAACTGTGGAAATATGCTTACTAGTCTAGCATGATTTTACAGACGAAACAAGGCATTATGAGAAAGATGTCTTCACTGGAGTGAACCGGAATAAAGCTCTGAAAAACAAATCACATAAATAGTTGACTCATGGTCCACACGAGTGGAAGCACAGGATTCTCTGAAAAAAGCTTTCAACCCTCACAAAACAAGCGAACGGTGTAATGAAGTTGAAGAAGAAATATAAAACACAAAGTTCCAATCTTAGGACAGCATTTCCAGTGATAAAAAAGTTCAAAGTTCCCCATGACAAATACAGGAACTAAAAATCTACAAATATAATACACGAGATTGGGTATGAAGTAACGGCTTAACATAACGGATCTGTTCAAACTTTATGGTTAGTTACTCTACCGGCGCATTTAGTTTTCCACTAAACCAGGCGCTTTGGAGAAAGCTTTGTCTTATAACAGGCACAACTTTATGATGCTAAGTGAGACAGTACAAAATGTTAGGATTCAATACTTAGAGGTTTGGCTGGAAGAGCTAGGAAAAACATACAGACAGATGACGAATCGCGAATTTTGAAGTCGACGTATTTTCGCGTATTGTATGGAAAACTCATCAGTTATGTTGTACATAACTTTGAAGTTTTCGCGTGGTAAGTATTGAAAGTGTGTAATGTCAAAATGAAAGTGAAACTTGTTTTCCATTGATTTGAAAACACATATACATGCTTTAGATGTCCCACTTTACAAGTAAATATGAAATGTAATTATAGAAAAGTTTGAATTCCAAGTCTTGTTTTGACGTTGTATTAACTTTCTTCTAATTATATGTAAGAACAGTTATTGAAAGTATCATTTATTGGCAAAAAATAAATTACTACAACTTTGATTGAAATATATAATATTGTAATACCAGCCACGAAGATTTTGTTTTCTGAGATTGATGTGTTTTAGGAAACGCTCTTTTAATTCTCACGCCCAGATTTTGTCAAATACAAATAATAACATCCTTACAAGCTATAAAAAATACTACTGCCACATACAAAATGCTAAATATCTAGTAATAAAATTCAACAAGTGTGCTTATAATAGTTATCATGTTACCTAAAATACATACACATGACTTCTAAAACTTCAAGGTTTTTCAGTATTATCAATGTTCATGTTCGTGTGGAATGAATTCATAGAGAAAAGGGGAGTCGTAAAAGTAATGCGCATCCCGAATGTGACGTATTACTCTTCCATTAAGCAGTTTCTGGCCATATTCCTCGGCTTCATAGCAATTGTGGGCAAGGCCAACTTTAATCAACCAGTCGACCAACTGTTTTCCACTGAACACCGATTTAAAGGTGCGATTCTTCCAGCTACAAATATATAAAAATATACTGTTCTTTATATATAAAATCAGATTGCAATAACGTAAAGAGAACACTTTTTATTTGCTATATAACTAAGTTAAGTGATGTCAGTTCTTGTATTATGTGAACATATTGTATTATTGAAAGTTTGAAATATCTGACTTTAATTATCGATTTTACAAAACATTTTCCCCTACGTTCTAATTCATTTGTGGTTAAATACTATTTTTATATTACTCTAATCAATTTAGGATAACTTAGTTATTCTACATAATTTGTTTAGAAGCAATCATCATATGCAATATGCTTAAAAATTAACAGAAGCCTCTATTACAATGTCCTACAGATATATATACTTTTCTGTCTAAAATCAATAGAATTAGTAGGTATCGAGATAAAATGATTAGATTTATGTTGTTGATTTTAGTAGTATGTAAACATTAAACACGACAAATTATTAGCTGCAACTATGATATAGCAGTTCCTGATCATTATGAGTTTTTCTGATTGGGATATTGAGTTTTCTTGAATTTAACAAAATATAAAATAGGAAAGAATGACGGTGTTTTTCATTTATCATCATAACAATACACAATGTGAGAATTTCGTCGGAACAGTAATAACAGGAACAAACTTTTAAACAAGAAAAAACATGAAATATAAATAACATTCAGAATGGCTGGTTTTGAAAGTTTTTTTAAGAGATAAATATACCTATCAAAAGCGAAATTCTTATCTGATTGAATTGAAGAAAGAGGCTAAACACTAAGTTTAACTATAAGAAAAAACACTATTAGTTCTGTGACACAAAACAGCAAGATAACACCAGAGATATTCAGCCAGTAAGATGAGTACACAAGACGAGAAATGATCATACTTCTATTGCTGGATAAGACTGAAAGATTCAACTACTATACACGTATTCGAAAAAAAGTTAGTCCTTTCACATTGCATATTTTATATACATTACTTGAACACTTTCATTAACTAAAATAGGAAAGACAGGGTATTTGGATTCTTTTAAATCTTTACACACTGAGTGACTACGACAGTAATAAGGTCAATTTAGATAAAAACATTCACCAACATATATACAATGATGTAGTGCTAAATTGCCCAGTACCACAGCCCTACAAAAATTTGTCAGATGAGTGACGTCATCATAAGAGTAAATATCTCAAAAACTAATTTCAATTGTTGTGAGTCCATCTTAAGTAAAGAAAATATAATCGACATCAATTATTTGAGACTACTTACCTTAGGGATAAAGTGAATAAACATAAAACTCACAACTCAACATCCTTTAAGTTAAGCAGCAAGGCAAAAAACAACTGTATACCAAATAGAAACTACTAACATTAAAACAAGTTTTAAAATCGCATATCTTATTAATCTACTCTCATTCTAACTGCATTACAATATTAACAACCTTAACTTTTATGATGTCTTTCATACCTTCTATCCTGCCAACGAATAGCTAAAAAATCGATCTTCATTGTATATTATGTAAATAATAACTCTTTTAAAATGTGCATTTTAAACTCACAGTATAACTGTAAAATGTACTTTTATAAAGTGCTTGAATACCATATTCGTGTGTCTTAATAGCAATGTGACGTGTGACTAAAATCATTTCACCATTTTAACGCTCTGATATCTGCTCTTGAGCCGGAATGGTCACATTGTGCCTGACGCCAGCTCCTGAGGGAAAGTAACAGAGTGTGTTTTCTGGGAAGTCTAAGAGAGCTCTATTAGTGGACCCGGGGATCGCAGACAGCTACAGTATTCTCTGGCACTCTGAGTAATTGGTTGTGAAAAATACTTAATTTCAGGTGTAAAGTGAATAACTTTTTTGTATAAATATTTTTAGTTTTTGAAGTGTCAGGATTCAGTTTCAATTTCAAATGCCGGAGCGGTACTCTGGTATACTCCAGCAGCACTACACCACTGCGTATATAACAATGGAAATTTTTGGTAAACGAAAAATGTTCCTTTTTTTACACTGAAAGAAAAACTGGAATGTTTCAATTATTAAGTATTATTATTCCCCTATTACGTATAATTGATGAAGTTCAAGCTTCAAATATTATTCGTGATTTAGGCTATAATGTGCAAAACTTGCATAGAAAACATGGTAACAAAACATAACGTTAGGCTGTATAAATACAACAGCATTAAATTTTTCTTATGTGCAAAACATAAGGTTCACCAGCTTTACTTCATGGTCTTCGCTATATAAACGAAAAGGGGAACATTACTATGGCATTATAATAAACTAATTTCAACTAAATCAATAATAGATGTACCTATTAAATATACGTGATATATCTAACGTATCGAGTCTTAGAAGCATTTATATACGTTGGAACTCGACTTTTGGGTATTATCAAAATGTTAGTGTGAGAAGTTACAAATCTTGACATTTACTTATAATACTCTAAATACACTTTTTATAGTAATTGGCATGCTTATTATTAATTCATGAGACTACTTTTTCATAAAATTGCGCTCGATACAGTGATGATTCTATAGAAGTCAAACTAACTTTCATTATTGAATCGACATTTGTGATAATAGATAAATAGACAACAACAAAGTCGAAGTCACAAAACTCACGTGATGTCTTTCGGCAATTGTTGTATGACGCTATCAAAATGGTATGTAACAAACTGATAGCAAACATGACAAGTCTCCTGATCCAGTTCATCTACAGGTGGCAGCACTGGAGTTTCCTTACCATATCGTAAGTTTCTCCAACTAAAAGCACACATAATTGGTTTCAATATATATGTATATAATATTCAGCCTTATTTTTTTAAGTGACGTCTAATGCATTTTAGAAATAAAGAATATGACCTTTTATAGTTAAGATATCTTATTTAAGTTGAACACATCAAGTTTCTGAATGGAGATATACTCGTTTTTTTAACTCTATAGTCGGGAGTCAATCATACAGACATTTGTGGCTGTTTTGTTCATCACAATATCAGGCAAAAGAAAAAAGCATTAATTTAGTATTAGAACTTTTCAAGAATACAACTTTTATGCTCATCGGTTCGTAGTTCAACTCTTGCTGAGAAGTCAATTTCAAAATGAGTTCTTCCCCCCGTTTATGTCAAGATTTTGGTGAAAGTTAATTGTTTTTTGCAGAGTAATTTCCTTAGAAGACCTATTTTCAGTGCTAAACTGGTCCATATACATTGATATTATGTCCAAAGTCATGTTTACCCAAGTCCCAGTTGCAAGTGCAAGATTGAAAGGTGTGAGCTTTGCATGAAATGCAAACATTAGGGATACAGTCACAATGGGATTCTTGTTAAAGTTAAATCAATCCAAAAGAAAAGTCGTAAAAAAACATTAAAAATATAAAAAGAAAACTGCGAAGCAAACGTAATGATAAGAGTGAGATACTTTATTCTCCTCATTGTAACTACCTTTATTATCATAGATCGTTCAGTGACTAAAAGAGTTAAATATGATTGAACTGATCTTAACCAACGAAAGGCATAAGAAGTAGTTGAAGAATATTTATTGGTGTTTCTGCTGAGTTCGCAGTGTCCTAAACAGCACGAACACGTTGAAACAGTTCTTACAGTGTATATCAAGGTCTAAATGGAATGGTCCTGAGCAAATGTAACCTTGCTTTGGGAAAACTTTAAGTTAACACCAAAACAATATTGTGGAAGTTTCATTGCTTTTTTTTTTGAAGCAGTAAGTTGAACCTTACACTTATGCAAATATTTTTATGGGAGACTGGTCTGGCAGATTTTCTCTTACTCTAAGTTACTACCAAAACAGGACAATTTTTGTACGATCACTCATGATTTTATGGTTAACACACACATTTTAATATCAAGTACATTATTGATGCACCAGGCAAATGAACAGTTAAAAAATAAAGTTAAAAATCTACCATACGGTTTTATACCCACTAATGTTTTCTTCAGTGGCTTCTAAATATCGTGTATAATGTGAATGCTTAATATAGTTATGGTAATAACAAATGGTATTCTGATAATGCTTGGAGACGGCTTGAATGGGTAACAAAGAAAAATTTTATTATAAGTTTAACATAACAGCAAATGTACAACGTTTCGACAAGGTTTTGTACTAAATACCTGAAAACTGGTTTCAGTTTTTCGTTAACTTAACCTTCACAAATTTTGGAATGAGCTTTTCAGAGTGGCACTGTCT